AGATGGCACCAGCAGCAGCACGACGGCGTGGTGTTGATGGAGCTGCAGTACTCCGGCAGGGCTATGCCAAGCACTATGGAGGAGGAGGAGGTGTTGGAGAGGGAGAAGGAGGCAACCAAAGGCCAAGCTATGAAGTCCCTCCTTTCCCCCACTATATATAGGAGGGCCAAGGGGGGGTGGCCGGCCCTAGGAGATCCAATCTCCTAGGGGGGCGGCGGCCAAGGGGGGTTTCCCTCCCCCCCCCCAAGGCACCCAGGAGGTGCCTTCCCCTCCTAGGACTCTTCCCCCTCAAACCCTAGGCGCATGGGCCTATGTGGGGCTGGTGCCCTTGGCCCATGTAGGCCAAGGCGCACCCCCTACAGCCCATGTGCCCCCCCGGGACAGGTGGACCCACCCGGTGGACCCCCGGGACCCTTCCGGTGGTCCCGGTACAATACCGATAACCCTGAAACTTGTCCCGATGCCCGAAACAGGACTTCCCATATATAAATCTTTACCTCCGGACCATTCCGGAACTCCTCGTGACGTCCGGGATCTCATCCGGGACTCCGAACAACATTCGGGTTACTGCATATACATATCCCTACAACCCTAGCGTCACTGAACCTTAAGTGTGTAGACCCTACGGGTTCGGGAGACATGTAGACATGACCGAGATCGCTCTCCGGTCAATAACCAACAGCGGGATCTGGATACCCATGTTGGCTCCCACATGCTCCACGATGATCTCATCGGATGAACCACGATGTCGAGGATTTAATCAACCCCGTATGCAATTCCCTTTGTCAATCGATATGTTACTTGCCCGAGATCCGATCGTCGGTATCCCAATACCTCGTTCAATCTCGTTACCGGCAAGTCACTTTACTCATACCGTAATGCATGATCCCGTGACCAGACACTTGGTCACTTTGAGCTCATTATGATGATGCATTACCGAGTGGGCCCAGTGATATCTCTCCGTCATACGGAGTGACAAATCTCAGTCTCGATCCGCATAAAACAATAGATACTTTCGGAGATACCTGTAGTGCACCTTTATAGTCACCCAGTTACGTTGTGACGTTTGATACACCCAAAGCACTCCTACGGTATCCAGGAGTTACACGCTCTCATGGTCAAAGGAAGAGATACTTGACATTGGCAAAGCTCTAGCAAACGAACTACACGATCTTTGTGCTATGCTTAGGATTGGGTCTTGTCCATCACATCATTATCCTAATGATGTGATCCCGTTATCAATGACATCCAATGTCCATAGCCAGGAAACCATGACTATCTATTGATCAACGAGCTAGTCAACTAGAGGCTTACTAGGGACATGTTGGTGTCTGTTATTCACACATGTATTACGATTTCCGGATAATAAGCATGAATAAAGACAATTATCATGAACAAAGAAATATAATAATAATGCTTTTATTATTGCCTCTAGGGCATATTTCCAACAGAGTCGTGGTTGGGCTGCGGCGCACCACCGCCCAACCGTGTCGCGGCGCCAGGCCCACGTGCGGCGAGAGTTGCTGCGGGAGGCCGACCAGGCCCACGCGCATGGGACCCACCTAGGCCCCCTGATGCTGGCGCTGGCGCGGGCACAGATCCCATCGGGGATCCGCCTGACGGGCCTGCAGTGCGCGATCCCGAGGAGATACTCCCGCCCAGATCAGCTCCGGGATTGCCGCGGGGATCTTCTGCACCGATTTCATCCGTATTTTCTGTTTGTTGCATAAAATCAAAGGAATTTTCGCCTATTTCCTCGCCAGCTTCCTGCATACTTTCTGCATTAGTGTTAGATATTGACATATGATCATTAGGACCTACTACACCCCCGGGAACATAAGCTGATGGAGGAAGGAGGTGAGATGGAAGAAGAACAAGCTCCTTGCGAAGTTGTGCGCTGGCGTTTGGATGGAGTTGGGAAAAAGGAAAAATTTGCTCGTCAAACACCACATCACGAGACACATAAACTCGCCCAGTAGAGACATCTAAGCACTTATATCGTTTGTGAAGGCTGCTATACCCTAAAAACACACACTGTTTGGGTCGAAATTCAAGCTTGTGTTTGTTGAAGGGACGTAGGTTTGGCCACACCGCGCAACCAAAAATGCGAAGAAACGAATAATTTGGTTTTGTGCCAAAGAGACGCTCAGGTGGTGTTTGGTTGGCAATAACTCTACTAGGGAGACGATTGATGAGGTAAACTGCCGTGAGAAAGGCCTCATCCCAAAACTTCAAGGGCATGAATGCATGAGCAAGGAGGGAGAGGCCAACCTCTACAATGTGTGGGTGCTTTCTTTCAGCAGAACCATTCTGCTGATGGGCATGAGGACAAGAGACATGGTGGGTGATGCCAATGCGGTCAAAAAAAGAGTGAAGCTTTTGGTATTCGCCCCCCAGTCGTTTTGCATAGTAAGAATTTTGCGATCAAAGAGTCGTTCAACATGCTTTTGAAAGAGATGGAATTTCTCAAACACATCAGACTTATTCTTGAGGAAATAGACCCAGCTAAATTTACTGAAATCATCAATAAAGCTCACATAATATTTTTGTCTGCCTACAGAAATTGGGCCAAGACCCCACACATCTGAAAAAACAAGCTCTAAAGGAGCTTTCGACTCACTAGTAGACCTAGAATAAGGAAGTTGATGGCTCTTGGCCATTTGACATGCATCACAAACCAGATGATGATCTTGTTTATTTGACACTGGAAGACTAAAATCACGAAGAATATTTTGAACCACCGGTAGTGAAGGATGCCCTAAGCGCTTGTGCTACCGTGAATTAGATGGTTTTGTCACGCCTAGCACTTGACGATGAGGGACACCCTGACGACCGGATACAGGAAACAATCCATCTCTAATCTTGTTTTGAAGAATGGTGCTCCGAGTGGCCTGATCCTTGACAAAGAAAATTTTAGGGTAAATCTCAAGGAAAGCATGATTGTCTTGCATAAGACGATGAGCGTAAAGTAAACTCTGGTCAACTTGTGGAGCATGAAGAATATTGTTTAGTGCTAAAGAGGAACCATTAGGGGTAGTAAGGACCGAATGACCAATATGTGCAACATCCATACCTTGACCACTCGCCGTGTGGATTTGTTCCGTGTCGGTATAACGATGACGAACAGCGAGCTCCTCCAACTCTCCTGTCACGTGGTCAGTAGCACCGTTGTCAAGATACCAATTGGTATCAACTCCATAGGCGTGAGCTGGGTTGGCCGAGCGCTGTCCTCCACCACCGCCGCGTCCTCTACCCCTGCCGCCTCCTGCGGGGTTGCGGACATTGTTGTTGAAGTTATGATCAAAGCGCTTCTTACAGCGCCATGCGTCGTGCCCTTCAAGTTTGCAGATCTGACACTTCTCGCGCTCGCGGTCACCGCGGTCACCACCTCCTTGCCGCGGTCCACCTCCAAAGCCGCCACCAGGGTGGTCAGGGTAGTGGGCGCCCGCGTTGTTGTTGATGTAGCCGCGGGAACCGCCTCCACTGTTGCTGCCGCCCCTTGGGTTGCCGCGACCTCCACTCCTTGCCGCCAGATTGGCAGAGTGGAAGGCGGTGTTTTGGGCGGCGATGCGAGCCTCGGCCGAGAGCAGCAGAGAGAAGAGCTCGCTGAGGCCGATCGGCTGCTCGGTGGCGGTGCGGGTGAAAATGGCCGAGACGAAGCCGTTGTAGTCGGGTTCGTGGAGGAGACCTTGCAGGATGTGATCGACAATGTCGTCTTCATCCAGCGGCTTGTCGGCGGCTGCCAGCTCGTCGGAGATGCTCACCATCTTGGTGAAGTAGGTAGCAACGGTCATGTCTCCTTTGCGGGTGTGCTCAATGGCAGAGCGGAGTTGGATGACCCTCGCCCTCGACTGCGAGGAAAAGCTTTGCAGCAAGGCGTTCCAGATCGAAGCGGCGGTGGTGTGGGAGCTGACCTGCAGTAAGACCTCACGAGAGAGCGATGAGATCAAAAACGTAAGGATCTGTTGGTCTTGGGTAACCCACACAGCATGCTCAGGGTTCGGCATTGACGTGATCTCCTTCTTGCCGGTGTTGTCCTTCTCGGTGTAGATCACGGCGGCGGGCTCCTTGATCGAGCCATCCAGATAGCCCATCAGCCCCGCCCCCTTGATGTGTGGCAAGACCTGAGCCTTCTACACCAGGAAGTTCTCCCGGGTCAGCTTTTCGGTGATGGTGTGACCGAGAGAGGCGATGGAGGGCGTGGCCATGGCGACGGATGAGGAGGAGGTCGACATCTAGATGCGAAGGAAGAGGTATCTGTATACCATGTGAAAATAGGTTAAGCGTATGCCTAGCAGGGACGCATTACGTGTTAATATATGGGCCGAAGCCAAGTAGTTACAGAGAGATATACATGGCGTGGATTGATCTCCAAGGACTCAATCACAATAACCTAACAACCTGATCTATCTATATCTATCCTACGGTTTATACAACACCGAAGGTCTACATGTTTAACAACACTTGGCTCGTTCAGCCGAATGATACTGCCATTGTAACTTATATTATGATGCAAATCATGCACTAAAGCGACCATGCATGTTTATCCCTAAAAAAGTAGGTATATCTTGAGAGGATATTTCCTTCGACGACTAATGAGTCAATTTTTCTGTCATTGGAGAAAAATGACTGCAACATTTACTGGTTCAGACATTTTGTCAAGACCAAATGAGAAAATGAATGCATTTTTCGGATTCCCTGTCATGGCTTAGTTCAGGCCCCGCTACTCAGTGTCAGTTTTTAATCGACAGAAACAACCATGAAAATAGTCGTACGTGGAACATACACGGTTACTTATATATTATTATATCTTTATTAATATATCAAAACACACACACACATACAGAGTTTTAGTATGATACACCAAAACACACACACACATACAGAGTTTTAGTATGAGAAAACAAAACAACGACACTAGCTAGGCAAAGTTAGATCTCTTCCATGGGGGGATCCAGACATGGAGCCGGCCAACTACCAGGCATTACTACTGGCCTGCATTAGTTGTTGACTCTCCAGCATACCTTCCTGATCTCTGCGCCTTGCTGGTTGCCTATGGTCTTGACCCCGATTTTTCCCATAGTCTCCATGGCTTTCTCGAACTTCCTCTCCCACGCCCCGGCCATGTTTGCGTTTTCTGTCACCTGCGTTATTGTTTCCGTCGAGTTGAGCACGGCGTCCGAGGTGAACATCACTTTCTTGTCGACCACGTTCTGGTAGTACTGCTTATCCAGGACGTCGGGGGTCACATCGTCTTGGTTCACGTTGTTGTTGTCGTTGCTGCACTGGGCCCTGAGCTTGGCGGCTAATGTCGGTTCCATCTCAGAGAAGCGGGTGGAGAAGAACGAGCAGCGGGCGCGACCGATGGTGTGCGCGCCGGAGAGCGTGACCATATCGTCGGAAGTGAGTCCCTTGGCCGCGAAACTCCCCTGGAGAGCCGTAAGGTTGGAGAAGGGCCCGGGCAACTGGTCGGTCTCGTTGGAGAAGGACTCGCGGCCGTCGTAGCGGCCGCCCGGCATTTGGATGTTGATCTTGCGGTCGCTGAGGAAGTAGGACGCGTCGCGGGCGGCGTAGGCAACGATGTCGGCACATGAGACTGTGTCGGGGCAGGTGGCCTCGATCGCCGCCTTGGCCTCGTCAATCACCTCGAACCCTCGGAGGCTGTTCTGGTTGGGAGGGCCTTCCCTCTCCGTGTCGCTGTTCTTGGAGTTGGTCGTGTTGAGGAGAACAGAACCATCGCAGCCCTATATATAATGAACATGAAGGACCTCATAATGAACATGTTGTTCCTCATAATGAACATGCTAGAATATAAGCTAGTACTTCCTCTGTAAACTAATATAAGAGTGTTCAGAACACTAAAATAGTGATTTAAACGTTCTTATATTTGTTTACGGAGGGAGTAGAATTGACGAGCTGTGTTGTGCGTACCCGAACGAAGCAGTCGTGGAAGAAGAGACGGATGAGCCCCGCACCAATGCCAGGGTTCGCATCCACAGCCTTCTTCACGGCATCCGTGACGATCTTCTCCGCGCTAGGGCACCTGGTGTTGTAATAGCCGGAGGTGAGCCCTGACCCCGAGGGAGCAGGTCTCCTCTGCCGCGTCTGAACGTCCGGCGCGGGGCGACAGAGCACCGGGTCGTAGGTGGGTAGCCTCAGCCAGCCGTTGAAGCAAATGCTGGCGCCCTCGGACGCCGCCGGCCCGGCGAGGAACGCGGCCAAGACGATGAGCGCTGCGAGCTTAGTCGCCATCTTCCTTTCGCACTAGCCACTAGAGAGCTGATGGTCGTTTCGTGTCGTGTGTTGTTTGCTCTGGCTGGGTTACGGATGACATATTTATAGGCCGTCCCGGAGGACCACGTACAAAGGCAATATAGCTTGGCAACGACGTATGTGCAAGCCGCGTTTCGTGGGCGGCGCACGTCGCGATGGACGGAAATTCCAATCGTCTGACCGGCGACTTTCGGTAGATTTCGCGGTGTCTCGCTGATTTCCCGTCGGCGGTCCGATCGGCCTCTGAGATGTGCCGGTGCCGGTGTGCTGTACTGCTGTGCGTGGGGACGAGCTGGGTTGACCGTTGAATGTTGCATGGGAACAGTGTCTCCTCTCCTCGACGACTTGGTCTTTCTGTGGAAAATGTCCACAACCTCACCAACCATGCATTTACCATTCCATGCAGGCATGTGATGCAGCTGCTAACCGGTTACATTAACTCGGGCGAACCGGCCTGCGCTTGCAGAGCAGTAGTGTATGTCTCCTTACTGATTTTTTTCCTGAAACTTAATGTTTTGTGTGCTTTCAAAAGTTTGTCATGAAATTGTGGCAAAACAAACAAAGTTGATGCTCCAAAAATGTTATTTTTGAAAGCATTTTGGAGAGCTCATTTTGATTTATTTTTTTGCCAATTTTATCACGAATGTCATTTCGTGATAAAAAATTTCAAGAACTCAAAGCATTTGCCAAAGTTTTCCCCAAACAAATCAGATTTTACTGTTTATCCCTAACTCATTTGAGCTTGGCAGCAGACGAAGATATTCCACTTACAATAGGTAAATCAGACTTTGCTTGTTTTGATCCCAAAGTTCAAGCTACATATGTTGGGGAACGTAGCAGAAATTTAAAATTTTCTACGCATCACCAAGATCAATATATGGAGTAATCTAGCAACGAGGGAAGGAGAGTGCATCTACATACCCTTGTAGATCGCTAAGCGGAAGCGCTCAAGTGAACGGGGTTGATGGAGTCGTACTCGTCGTGATCCAAATCACCGATGATTCTAGTGCCGAACGCACGGCACCTCCGTGTTCAACACACGTACAGCCCGGTGACGTCTCCTACGCCTTGATCCAGCAAGCGGAGCAGGAGAGGTTGGGAAGACTCCATCCAGCAGCAGCACGACGGCGTGGTGGTGGTGGAGGAGCGCGGGACTCCAGCAGAGCTTCGCCAAACACTACGAGAGACGAGGAGGAAGAGGAGTAGGGCTGCGCCAACAGGGAGAGCAAATCACATGTGTTGGGAAGCCCCAAACCTCAAGTATATATAGGGGGAGGGTAGAGGCTGCGCCCCCACCTAGGGTTCCCTCCCTAGGGGTGGCGGCCAGCCCTAGATCCCATCTAGGGGGCGGCCAAAGGGGGAGAGAGGGGGGCGCACCACTAGGTTGGCCTTAGGCCCATCTGAGCCTAGGGTTTGCCCCCTTCCCCTCTTGGAGGCGCCTTGGGCCTTGGTGGGAGGCGCCCCAGCCCACCTAGGGGCTGGTCCCTTCCCACTATTGGCCCATGTAGACCTCCGGGGCTGGTGGCCCCACCTGGTGGATCCCCGGACCCCTCCGGTGGTCCTAGTACACTACCGGTGATGCCCGGAACACTTCCGGTGGCCAAAACCATACTTCCTATATATATCAATCTTTACCTCCGGACCATTCCGGAACTCCTCGTGATGTCCGGGATCTCATCCGGGACTCCTAACAACATTCGGTAACCGCATACATACTTTCCCTATAACCCTAGCGTCATCGAACCTTAAGTGTGTAGACCCTACGGGTTCGGGAGTCATGCAGACATGGCCGAGACAACTCTCCGACCAATAACCAACAGCGGGATCTGGATACCCATGTTGGCTCCCACATGTTCCACGATGATCTCATCGGATGAACCACAATGTCAAGGACTTAATCAATCCCGTATACAATTCCCTTTGTCTAGCGGTACGATACTTGTCCGAGATTCGATCGTCGGTATCCCGATACCTTGTTCAATCTCGTTACCGGCAAGTCTCTTTACTCGTTCCGTAACACATCATCCCGTGATCAACTCCTTGATCACATTGTGCACATTATGATGATGTCCTACCGAGTGGGCCCAGAGATACCTCTCCGTTTACACGGAGTGACAAATCCCAGTCTCGATTCGTGCCAACCCAACAGACACTTTCGGAGATACATGTAGTGTACCTTTATAGCCACCCAGTTACGTTGTGACGTTTGGCACACCCAAAGCACTCCTACGGTATCCGGGAGTTGCACAATCTCATGGTCTAAGGAAATGATACTTGACACTAGAAAAGCTTTAGCATACGAACTACATGATCTTGTGCTAGGCTTAGGATTGGGTCTTGTCCATCACATCATTCTCCTAATGACGTGATCCCGTTATCAACGACATCCAATGTCCATGGTCAGGAAACCGTAACCATCTATTGATCAACGAGCTAGTCAACTAGAGGCTTACTAAGGACATGGTGTTGTCTATGTATCCACACATGCATCTGAGTTTCCTATCAATACAATTCTAGCATGGATAATAAACGATTATCATGAACAAGGAAATATAATAATAACCAATTTATTATTGCCTCTAGGGCATATTTCCAACAGTCTCCCACTTGCACTAGAGTCAATAATCCAGTTCACATCGATATGTGATTAACACTCAAGGTCACATCCCCATGTGACTAACATCCAAAGAGTTCTGGGTTTGATCATGTTATGCTTGTGAGAGAGGTTTCAGTCAACGGGTCTGCAACATTCAGATCCGTATGTACTTCGCAAATGTCTATGTCATCTTGTAGATGCAACTACTACGCTACATTTGGAGCCATTTCAAATAACTGTTCTACTTGGAGCTATTCTAAATTGTTGCTCCATTATACGTATCCGGTATCTCTACTCAGAGCTATCCGGATAGGTGTTAAGCTTGCATCGACGTAACTCTTTACTTCGAACTCTTTATCACCTCCATAACCGAGAAACATATCCTTATTCCTCTAAGGATAATTTAGACCGCTATCTGGTGATCTACTCCTAGATTACCTTTGTACCCTCTTGCCAGATATGTGGCAAGGCACACATCAGGTGCGGTACTCAGCATGGCATACTGTATAGAGCCTATGACAAAAGCATAGGGGACGACCTTCGTCCTTCCTCTTTCTTCTGCCGTGGTCGAGCTTTAAGTCTTAACTTCATACCTTACAACTCAGGCAAGAACTCTTTCTTTGACTGATCCATCTTGAACACCTTCAAGATCATGTCAAGGCGTGTGCTCATTTGAAAGTACCATTAAGCGTTTTGATCTATCCTTATAGATCTTGATGCTCAATGTTCAAGTAGCTTAATCCAGGCTTTCCATTGAAAAACACTTTCCAAATAACCCTATATGCTTTCCAGAAATTCTACGTCATTTCTGATCAACAATATGTCATCCACATATACTTATCAGAAATGTTGTAGTGCTCCCACTCACTTTCTTGTAAATACAAGTTTCTAGTAAACATTGTATAAACCTAAAAGCTTTGATCACTCTATCAAAGCATGTATTCTGACTCCGAGATGCTTGCTCTAGTCCATAGAAGGATTGCTGGAGCTAGCATACCTTTTAGCATCCTTAGGATCGACAAAACCTTTTATTGTATCACATACAACTTTTCTTACGAAAACTGGTAAGAAAACTTGTTTTGACATCCATCTGTAAGATTTCATAATCGAAAAATACAGCTAATGCTAACATGATTCCAACGGACTTAAGCATCGCTACGGGTGAGAAATTCTCATCGTAGTCAACTCCTTGAACTTGTGAAAAGACTCTTTCCCACAAGTCGAGCTTCATAG